TTTCAAAGTGTGATCTATCATCACTAGTGTTACAGGCTTTACTGATGAGATTTTGGCACCCAAACATCTTATGTTGCAGCTGCTAGAGTTTGTTTCCGCTCACTTCTCCAGTACCAACATCGTCTAGAGGCAACAAATATATTGTTACGTCGCTTTATGCTCGCATTCTAATCGACGCTGCAGTGAAGGCGCAAACTTTTCTGAGGCATCAATCTTGTAACATGCTCGGATTCAACGTGAACAGCATAAAGGCCTTCTTGAAAAAATGCTACAAATCTTATGTATGTCCTTGGTCGGGCTAATACTGTAAGCAGGTCAGAGGTTCAGCAATAGGATAATTTAGCTCCAACCCTAGTCATTGTTTTCATGTTCGAAGTAGAGACCCCCTGCTGACAAGAGTTCAATCAAGGCATACTTGTAAAAGCCGCGGAATCTTGTAATTGGCAGGATAAAATTGTGGATGCCACAGAAAAAAATGCCGTATATTTTGAATCACACGAAGTGCATTGTGGAGATATGTACATCAGGCGGGTAGTGATGGTTGCACCTAATGAGCAGGGTGGGGATCTTCCATCTTCATTTGGAGCGGCAATTGGTTCGGAACCGAGCGTATGACCGCAGCGGCTTAAAACTGAGTTGCATAGTCAATTTAGCAGGAAGATGATTGTATGGTGTCAGGAGTAGTTTACCTGATCCAATGTATGTCATGCGGAGACACCTACATTGAAGACAGAACGCCTTCTTTGTTCTCGGATGAAAAAATTCACATGGGCTAACTAAATGAGAACCTCCTATACTTTTGCAAGCCACATTGAACACTACGCAAGCGCTGAGATACGAATTCGCCATTCTATTCTGCAAGTTCAACGTCAAAGGGTGCAAGTTGGAGTGTTTTGGATAAGCGCCAAGAATTTTAAAATTAATGGAAATTGCGTTGCGATTACTAACGAACCCGCACCATATTAGTCTCCATCTGCAGAACTGAATTTGAGGTTAGGTCACCTGAACACTATAAAGAGTGGGACTTATAGTTTTGCTACACCTCACACTTGTGCATCTAAGGCAAGTGTGGCTATGCGTGGCGCTGGTTTTGGCTCGTATTTTACATTTGGACGTCATGTTGAGTCATGACTTTTTTGGTTCACTGATGTGTTCGACCTTCCAGGCTGACGAAGGGTAAGTGTCG